CATAGCTGCCTCATATCTGCCCCATAGCTGCCTATATCTGCCCCATATCTGCCCCATAGCTGCCCCATATCCGCCCCATATCCGCCCCATAGCGCCGCCCCATAGCTGCCTCATATCTGCCCCATAGCTGCCCCATATCCGCCCCATAGCGCTGCCCCATAGCACCGCCCCACAGCGCGGCTCACAAGACGAAGGCTTCGTTCCACACGGGGTTCAGCGTCGCTTTCACGGTCCGCGTTTTCTGCTTGGAGGCGTTTTTGGGGTCGGGGATCAGCTTCAGCTTCACATAGGGGTCCGACAGCCCGTTGGGGTCCATGGGGATCAGATTGCGGGCCTCCCCCACTGCAAGGGGCCAAGGCTCTCATGGCGCCCATCACCCCACTGCGCCCCATAGAGCCCCATAGAGCCCCATAGAGCCCCATAGAGCCCCACAGAGCCCCACAGAACCCCATAGAGCCCCATAGAGCCCCACAGAACCCCATAGAGCCCCATAGAACCCCATAGAGCCCCATAGAGCCCCACAGAACCCCATAGAGCCCCATAAAACCCCATAGAGCCCCATAGAGCCCCACAGAGCCCCACAGAGCCCCATAGAGCCCCACAGAGCCCCATAGAGCCCCATAGAACCCCATAGAGCCCCATAGAGCCCCATAGAACCCCATAAAACCCCATAAAACCCCATAAAGCCCCATAGAACCCAATAGAGCCCCATAAAACCCCATAGAACCCCATAAAACCCCATAAAAGCCCATACAGCCCCATAAAACCCCATAGAACCCCACAGAGCCCCATAGAGTCCCATAGAACCCCAAGGTGCCCCATGGAGCCCCGCGGTGCCCCCTAGTGGCTGCACCACGATCTGCAGGTAGCCCATAGCGCCCCATAGCGCCCCATAGAACTGCATAGAGCCCCTCATTTCGTCCCATAGAACCCCATAGCACCCCTCATTTTGCCCCATGGAAACCCATAAAACCCCATGGGGCCCCATAGAACCCCATAGTGCCCCATAGCTCCCCACAGAGCCCCATTCCTGCCCCATAGCAGCCCATAGAGTCCCATCAAACCCCATAGAGACCACAGCGCCCCATAGAATCCCATAGAGCTCCTCATTTCACCCCATAGAGCCCTATAGTGCCCCATAGCGCTCCATGGAACCCCATAGCTCCCCACAGCGCCCCCTGGTTACCGGTGACCCGCAGCGTGTCGCCCCCTATGGGCTACACGCGGATCTGCAGCCTCCCACAGAGCCCCATAGAACCCCATAGATCCCCTTTGCGCCCCCCAGCGCCCTCTAGTGGCGGCACCAGGATCTGCAGGTGCCCGATAGCGCCTCATAGCACACCAAGCTGCCCAATAGAGCCCCGCAGCGCCCTCCAGTGGCTGCACGTGGATCTGCAGCCTCCCATAGCGCCCCATAGAACCTCATAGATCCCCTTTGCGCCCCGCAGCGCCCTCCAGTGGCTGCATTTGGATCTGCAGCCTCCCATAGCGCCCCATAGAACCCCACAGCGCCCCACAGCGCCCCCCGGTTACCGGTGACGCGCAGCGTGTCGCCCCCTATGGGCTGCACGCGGATCTGCAGCCTCCCGCGCCGCTCGGTGTGATCCACGCCGCACAGGCTGGGCACGCTCTGCACACAGCGCTTGTGGACGTTCATCTCACAGCCTGCGGGCAGCGGGGGGGCTTTGC